TGCCTTTTAAGTCTCTTTCCCTTTGAAAGTTGTAGTACTTGGTACCACTGAGTTCTGAATAGCATTTAAATTGCATGAGCTTGATTCATATGAGATCTATTATTGTTTCCGCCAGAACAAAGGAATATATAGTTATGCACAATTATGAATGTTGGGCTTGATTAACTATATTAATTCCATTATAGTTTATACTGTAAAAGCAAAGTAAATATTTATAAGTTTGTTTATTATGTACTCTGTAGTGGCCTACAAAGTGTCAAGGAAGAAGGCTGATGAAACTTTCAAGCTGCTTCACACAATTCTATTTGGAAGGAGAGGCAAGGTGATGATCCCTCTCTGCGTACCATTTCTTATATTGACTGCCAGTAGAGTGATTTTCGCCTAGTAGTTTTGGAACTATTAGATGTTGCATATCTTATGTTAGCAACTATTATGCCAATGTCTTTTGTATATAACCTGTGTTTCTTGCATTGATAGGCTTCTCAGATCAAGACGAACATATTACGGTTTTCAGGTTTTGTGTGGCATGGAAATGAGGTAGATAATTTAACGCACTCTAGATTGCCTTTTTTGTGTTCTTGTTCCTTCATAATTTTGTCAATCCTTGTGTTTACAGGAGAAGGCAAAACTCAAAGTAAAAGAAAAGTTTGACAAATGCAACAAAGATAAACTTTTGGAGTTTTGTGATGTATTGGACATACCAGTTGCCAAGGCTACAACGAGGAAGGTGAAGGCTATGCAATTCTATATCATCGTTCTTTAAATTCAATTGTTTCTTTGTTTGGATGAATGGGCACCCCTGTGATGTTGTAAAGCCCTCGTCTTTCCTTGTGCAGAGACTGACCTGCCATTTGCTTGCTATCAAATTTATGCTAGATTTTGTTCTCATATAGTGGCAGCTACTGATTGTTGCATAGTTTTATTCAACACAGGAAGATATTGTTATAAAACTGATTGAGTTTTTGGAGGAACCTCATGCAACAACTGATGTTCCTGTTTATGAGAAAGAGAAGGTATTTGGAAAAATGTAGACACTGTTACTTCAGAGGTTGAGTTGAAAATTTGTTGTGCATATTATAATATGTTATTTTTTCTGTTGAAGCAGCCAAGTAAGGCAGCAAAGCGTAAGAGAACATCTAAGCAAAGTTCACCTACAGTTGGAACTTCATCCTCTAAAGGATCAGCAAAGGTATTACTATTGCATGGCTTAGAGCTGGGAAGTTTGATTTCTGTCTTGAAAGGAAAACAATGCGAAGAGAATTTAACTTCAAAGATAATAAAGGATATCTTGTCTGCCTTGCTGTACTGTGAATGTTTCCATGCGTCTGTTTCAAGACTTGCAGTTGATATAAATTTTGGAACGCCATCTCTACAGAGTCGAAAAAGGAGTGGTGAAGCAGAAAAGGCTGACCAAAAGGGTGTGCCTCATTCTGATGATGAGCCTGAGGAAGAGAAAGAGGAAAAAGATGTAGAAGAAAAAGAGAAAGAAGAGGAGGAGGATGAAGAAAAGAATGAAGAAGCGGACAAGGAAAACGGTGTTCCTGATAAATTTGAGGACGAGGTGCCTGAGCCTTCTGAAAGTGAGGAGAGAGTTGAATCAGAGGAGGACTCGGAAGAAGACACTAAAAAGAAGAAACGTGGTTCAAGGTCATCACCTGAGAAGAAAGAATCATCAGGGAAAGCCAGAAGCAAGAAAGCTGCAGTCTCTGGAAAAGCCAGTCCAATGACACAGAAAAGATCATCCACAAAACGGAAGAAGACTGATGATGACAGCGATTCAAGTCCAAAGACGTCTTCTAAAAGGAAGAAAACTGAGAAACCTACCAAGGAGCAGTCCTCAGCTCCTTCAAAATGTACCTTGAAAGAGAAACCAGGTATTAGTTACATTGTCCTTTCCTTTTTACTATCTAGCTTTACATTGTAGTGTGTGGCTTATCAGTTGAGTGGAATAAAGCCTGAATTGGTACGAGTTTTTATCAGAAGCAGCAGCCAATCTTACTCTTGACTTCGCTCTCTTTTTTCATACTCACTGATTTAGCAGAAGCTATAGCCAATATGATAGCCTCTTATGTTTTCTTACACCAGTTTTGTTTGTGTTTGTCTCTGTGCTGAAGGGAAAAGGTCTGGAAAAGGGAAAGACAAAAGCAAAGAACCGGGTGACAGAGAGTTGAAAAACGCGATTGTTGAGACCTTGAAGAAAGTGGACTTCAACACGGTGAGAACAATTTCAAGCTTCAGTTATTAGTACTCAGCTAGTTGAGAGTTATGACATACAAGCGTGTAGAAGATAATCTTGGATATCAATGATTAATATGCCCTTCGTTGGTTGGTGTCGAACTCTGCAGGCCACATTCACTGACATCCTCAAGCTACTTGGTATTATGACTTGGACAGACTCTCGTGTTGGTTCATTGGTTGATTAAGCAACGGCACACCGGTTTATTAATGAAACATTGTTTTTTCGCCTGTTTTTCAGCCAAGGAATTCAACGCGGATCTCACCCCAAGAAAGTCATCTATAAAGCTGATGATCCAGGAAGAGCTAACGAAATTAGCAGAAGAGGCAGAGGACGGGGAAGGAGAAGAGGAGGGAGCAGAGAAAGAGAAGGCAGAGCCTGCGGGTGAAGAGGTTAAAGCCTGAAACTTATTCATCCCAAATCAATAGAGAACATACGGGAAATCATAATCTTAAGACTATTTAATTGCAGAGTCTGTTAGGGCCTTTCCTTGCCTAATACCCATATCATAGGCACAGTTGTATCAGTGAAATCTGGATGTAATTTGTCGTTTTTCCTCTTTTATTTGGTCTGAATTTGAGGCGACCGAGCAGAAACCGATTCCAGGTTTTGGTTTTGGTTTTAGTCTTAGTTTTGGGTAGAGAGGACAGAGAGAAAGGGACAGAGCTGCAAAGACACAGAGTCAAGAGATAGGCAACTTGTTTGTATACAGTTCAACATAATAAGCTCAGTCTTCTACCTAGGATTCTTCCTCGTGTGTTATTTTAGTGAGATCTTGTATTAGGTGGAGAGACCAGTTGCGATCTTCTCGGTCGTGAAGGCTACTCATTAGCAATGTAACAAGGTGTTTTCTTCATCTATTCTTGTGGATTAAACGTGGTCTCTATATGCGTCACAACCGCAGCTGTGAATGAAATTCTGAATAGTCCTCCATATGATCATGGGGATGACAAGAAGAGACCCACAAGAGAGCAAAACTTAGGCAGTGGTAAAAGATCTTGTCTTATGAGACGTGCAAGCCAAATATGTGCACAAAAATGGATCCTAATTTTCTTTCACAACCAAAGATTTGATACTGATACATGCATAGACAGAAGATGGAAAGAGAATAGATTCCATTGCACTGTACTATGTACACTTGAAAGAAAAACCCTATTTAGAACATACATTAAAAAGACAAAAAAACAAAAAACAAAAGGATTCACATGTTTGTCACAATTGGTCGTGTAAAGCCACCCATTGAACCTAAACAGCAAATCATTGGGGTCCGAAGTTCTATCGAGTCCGAGTAATCCTCCCCACGTTCCACGTGTTTGATCGTTTTTAATTCATCCCATGTGTCAT